TGTGTGAGGCTTTCTTCCTGCTGCTCCTCAAGCTTCCCCCGGGGCCAAGGAGGGAGACGAGGAAGCTTCCTGTGGGGTCGGTCCAGCTTAACACTAGAAGGCCTCCAGGACCCGGGGCTGGGTAGGTCCTGCGTGTTGTTGCAGCTGCCTCCAGCCTGGACAGTGCTCCCACCCTCGGCCGCGGCCAGCAGGTGCTCCGAGGGCCCGAGAGCAGGGCCTGGTGCTGCTTCCTGGTGCTCATACCCCCACCTGATGGGGAAGCCACAGGGGCAAGGACATGTTCCCTCTGTGTTCGGAGCTGCAGGGTGTCAGCGCGGGCTGCAGAGACGTCTGTGGGTCCTGCCTGAAGTGCCCAGTGTGCCCACTCTGCTCAGCCGGGCTCTGACTCAGGGAAGGGCCGCAGTTGGCAGGTGGGTGCCGGGTGCCCCTCTGGTGGTGCAGGTGAGCAGCTCATGCTCCCACATCTCCACGCCAGCGCTGCCAGTGTTTGCTGGCTCCTCAGGGAAGGTGAGCTGCTGGTGATGAGAAGCAGGAGAGAGCTCCGGACCCGCCATCGGGGCGGTGAGGGTGCACGTCACCACAGGCCATGCCTGCTGTGTGCAGAGGCCCTGGTGGGGTTGACGGCAGGCCTAGAAGAGGAGGGCAGGGGCCTGGGGGCTGTGGCTCCAGTGTGGGGAGGGCAAGGGGCGTGTGTGCATTGGGGCACACTGCTGGTCTGTCCTGCTCCTTACACTGTCTCCAGTGCCTTCCGCAGGGGCGGGGGCGGGTCTTCAGTGTGTCCCGTTCCCCCATTGTGTTCTGGAGTTCCAGCCCTGGTCCACTGTGTCCCTCTGGTCTTCCAGGAGAGGCCCCCCAACAGCACCTGCAGCTTTGGGGTCTCTGGCTGTCGCTTGGTGAGCCAGGGCGGAGCAGCCTGCAGGTGTCTTCTCGGTCGGGATTTGCGGGCATGAGGTGGTCAGGCCCTGCTGGGCCTCCCTGTGGGCCAGCTTCTCTGCGCCGTCTCTCTCTCTCTCTCGCTCCCTTTCTGTGTGAGAAAGAAAAGCAAGTGCACAGTCATACTTAGACCCTCAGATCCTCAGGACACAAGGACCTGCTGTTTCCATGTTAAAATGACTCCTCGGGTCTTCCCAGACCAGAGGAAAGCGACTGGCACTGCCCCTGATTGCCACAGAGTGTTTCCTGTCGGCTCATCTGTTTCAGGGCCCTCAGCGGGTGGTGGACAGATCGCGGCCAGGGCTGGGGTGGACAGATCGCGGCCAGGGCTGGGGTGGACAGATCGCGGCCAGGGCTG